CATTGATATATATATATATATATATATATATATATATTATAGAGCCATTTTAATAAACATGATAAGCAAAACATGATATGGCTGATATGAACTGTGTGTTTTTGGTTCATAGGTATGTGAACTTCGACAGTTTCTTTGTCATGTATGATTGCAGGTTGTGTTATTTACTGAATGTAGGTCATGGGCTGTTTTCATCATCGTCTTTTTTGATTTCACACTGTTTTGTCTGATTGCCTCTGTGGTGTTTAGGCAGGTTTGCAGGGGGTCGTCACACAACCAGCCCTGGAGAACCAGAAACAAAGACTCTTCACAGCACCAGCCAAAACATCTCCCCCATGGAGCTCATATTCACTGCTATCAGCGTTTTACCACCTGAGGCTGGTGGATAAGAGGTATCCCTCTTGCACAGAGTCAGAGTTTCCATAGCAACCTCCTAACATCATGACATATTGTAACTCTGGTCATTTGATCTGAAGACGCTCCGTTCCATCTTTTCGTCTGAGTGCTGCCAATAAGTGGAAAGAACCATTAGCTTTATAAGTATTTCATGTTGGACCAGCCACATACAGTACACACTCTCAAACAATAAAAAAGACCTTAATTCAGGACAGAGTGTATTTATTTATTTTGTCACAAACTGTAATGGTGTTCTTTTTCGATATGTCCTTTCGCAGTACATCTATCTGCTAAGCAAATATAGTATGATACGACTTAGCAGTGTAATGAGGAAGACACAAAGTTCAAGATACTGTTGCCTTAATGAATTAAGACATTATTCATGCAGATGAAGTTCATAGAAAAGTTCCCATAAAGATTCTCAGTATAACTGATGCAATGCAAGCACATGATTCATTTCCCAATCTACCAATGCATAAATGTCACACTTCCCCGTAAGCTAGGCATAATGAATATATTACCATACTGTGACAGTGCTGAAATATGCAAGAAAACCATGGCCTAGTAATAAATTACATCTGTTTGTTTGCAAATGAATGCACTACAAGTATACAAAGCCTCAATTAGAGAGATTGGTGTGAAATATGATAAACACAGCACAGCAGCTCAAATGTCCAAGGTCCAAATCAGCAGCAATACATTATTTATTTATTTCCAAAAAAATGGGTCTCATTCACTAACCATGCAAACATTCTTACTCAAAAATCACTTTAGGATTTAAGCACATGTATGCAAAAATCACAGACTCATAGTGGCCTCAAAAACAATCTGGACTGTATCAAAAATACAGTAATACTGTGAAATATATTTTACAATTTAAAATAACAGTTGTCTATTTTAATATATTTTCAAATGTAATTTATTCCTGTGATGCAAAGCTGAATTTTCTACTTCATTACTCCAGTCTGCAGTGTCACATGATCCTTTAGAAATAATTCTAGGATGCTTTAAGATGCTGATTTATAATCAATGTTGGAAACAGTTGTGCTGCTTAATAGTTTTGGGACATGTGATACTTTTTTTTCAGGATTCTTTCATAAATAGACAGTTAAAAAGAACAGTGTTTATTTAAAAAAACTACACTTAAAAAACAAGTACACTACTATTCAAAAGTTTGGGGTCAGTAAATCTTTTTTTTAAAGAAATTAATACTTTTATTCAGCAAGGATGTGTTAAATTGATAAAAAGTGATAAAGTTGTTCTGCTGTTCTTTTTAACTTTTTATTCATCAAAGAATCAAAGAAAAAAGTATCACATGTTCCAAAAAAATATGAAGCAGCACAACAGTTTCGACACTGATAATAAATTAGCATATTAGAATGATTTCTGAAAGATCATGTGACACTGAAGACTGGAGTAATGGCTGATGAGATTTTACTTTTGTGTTTTCCATTTTCATTTAAAGTGCCCCTATTATGGGTAATGAAAGGTTCATATTTTGGTTTTGGGAGTCCCCAACAACAGGTTGACATGCATGCAAGGTAAAAAAACAAACACTTTCATTGTCTTATAATATGCTTTTTTTTTTTCCTTACGTGCTCAACGAATCCCAAACGATTCGCTCAACGATTAATTTTTCCAAACCTCTCCTTTGCGTGACGCTAATCTGCGGTGATTGGTCTCATTTTCATTTCATCATGCCTGTAATGCCTAAAAATAAAGCAGCGTTTGTGAGCGCAGTGCTGCTTTGTGTACAGCGTTACTGGGGAAACAGCTATTTTTACC